CCCCAAAACCCCAAAACCCCAAAACCCCTAGCTTTGATATTAGAATTGATAAAATGGCATCAGGAGACTACCTAGATTTCATAGTTAAGGAAACTAATAAAAATGTTAGCAAACGCAAGCTTGAAGGTGAAGAACTCAACTACTTTCTTCTTAAGTCCTCCAAAAGACTAGTAAGAATGAGAAATGGAGAGAGATTATTTGATGTAGTTGGTAAAAGGAATATGGTAGGAATAAAATCAAAGAGACACCTTCTTCCTTCTGAAATATCCCAGAATTTCAACGAAGAATCCTTGAATATGCTCAAACAAATCTTAGAAAAGCAGTATTATAAGAAAGAGAAGGAGCAATCTACCGACTATGAGTTCTTACTTCCTGATGATCATCCAAATAAACATTTGACTGTCCAGAGCATATAGAGAATAATGATCTTATAAAATCCTTTGAAAACATTGACAACTTGTTCCACTATATGTCTGAGAAAGAGTTTGACCCAAGACAGGAGTTCTTTAAGGAGAGGGATCTTGAAAACTTCTTCAAACTCAAATACCAACTCATCTCACAATACCTTGGTAAATAATTTTAGGCAGTTAGATAATTCTTATAGAGGATGATATCGATGAACATCAGAGACAGATTCTTATACAGAAGCGTAAAGAAGAGGATAGGCTGACTAAGCTCAAAATGAAGGAGTATTTAAGCAACATTAAAGCTAAAACTGGCAATCAGACACAAAGTAATCTCTCCTCTGTCTTCCATCTCTTAATCCTTCTCATTAGACAAAGCAAGCTCTCTGGCAAAGGCTAGCTCAGAATGGAAGAAAGGGTTGATAAACTCAGTGAAAAATAAAAAATTCAACCAGATTTTTAGTAAATAAAGGAACATTTGAATATTACATTCTACAGAGAATGCACAGAATCGAGGAAGAAATTACAGAGAAGTAATCTCCTTGTCTCATTTGTTAGGATTATTGACGAGACCTTGAAGGAGAAAGAACTCAAGTAAGCTCATAATTGAAATAATTTAAATAGAGCTATTAGAGAAGAAGACGAAAAGTTGATCAATAAGAAAAATTTTAAGGAAACCAAGAATTTTATACCAGGAGTCAACTGAGAAATCAGATCAAACTTCGTAGACCCTAGGTCTGTCAAGATTGCTAAGAATTTGGACCAATACATGTAATTTTATATCAAGATTATTTAGAAAATCAAGAGTAAAGACTGACAAAATCATTATCCCAAATACAAAATAAGCGAAAGGAAATGCAGATAAGTGATTTATCACCAACTTTGATATCAAAGATCTCTGATGACCCTCACCAGCAATATAAAAAGAGAGTTTTGGAGACTAAGCCTCAAGAAGTCAGGGAGATTCTTAATATTACGAAAGTGCCATTTATGAATGGAACTATTCCAGGTATTCACTAAATAATCATTCTTAGATAGCCGTGTTAAGAGAAGAACTAGTCTTGAGAGCCGAAGACTGAAGACATTTGTTGACCCAGCTGTAAAAATCAACAGAATAAAGAAAAATAATTCTGTAATCCTTGAAGAACTCGAGCTAGATAAAATTCATGGAGAAATTCTAAGTCAAAATATTTCTAAAGGAATTGCAAAGGTAGAAAAACGGAGTGATAGATTCAGTTTTCTTCCAAGCTTGCAATCAAATGCTGATGAATCTACTATTCATTCCCACAAAGGGAGGATAATTCGCAAATCGTCTTCTATTCCCTCATTTTCGATCAATGATTTTAAGAAAGCATACCAATTTATGAAAGCACAGAAGTCTTTCAAGCCAAAGTTTAAAAGAACTCAGAGGAGAAGTGTGATAAATCTCGAAAATAAACATGTCATAAAAACACTTGGAAGAAACTCTGTTATTCCAAGCTCAATGAAGAACTTCAGGAATATTTCTGTGAATAGTTGATACAATAACTTTGAGAGAGGGAATCAAGGTAAGCTAAGTTTATATGCGTAACTACAATGAATTTAGGCCCAACATTTACTCCCAATATGAGCTCTATTGGGCAGACCTCCACTCATATGAATTAAGATTGATTCAATATTAGAAAATATTGATGGGGTTTTGGGGTTTTGGGGTTTTGGGGTTTTGGGG